GTGCCCTTCTAAGTAAGAAAACATGATCATCCAAAAATAAGTCACTTTTACATAAAGTAAGTTTGCGAACTTATACGTGTCTTGTGTGGTTTGTTGATCTACCTGTGCTGCTACATTGCGCTGGAAATGGGCGGTTAACGTTCAACGAGGGGCGGAGCGCCATGGCGCAACCAGCTGCAGCTGAACTGATCTGGCGCAGCGAGTCTGCAACAAGTGATCTCAGTACTTTGCTGTGGGAAAGAATGGATGTTTGCATGCACCCTCCAACTCCGAGATAACTCTATCCAAGTTGTGCGCATGTGCCCGGAGTAAATCACCGGTGAGTGTGTCGCCGTTCCTCTGTAGTTAAACGGGCTGCGGGAACATGATTTTATTATAATCGTCCTCGCATTTCCAGACTGTCAGTCTGACATGTCTCCGATCTGCTCCACTTTCCCGGGAAGCTGATACTATGACAACCTGTCGAATTAGCTGGAAGCCAAAACCTCATGCTTTCAAACAAAAGTTCTTTTAAAAATGTTTTGCCTCTATTTTAGCAAAGCTCCGGTGGCTTTGTATATGTATTTTAAAATACAAATCCTGTTATTTTAAAATATTCTTCCGTTTAACTATGTACCTATACCTATATAGAAAATATGTTTTAAAGAAATACACCACGACACAGGCCTGTCATGTAGGTTATAAATAAAGTGCGTTAAAATCGGTGCTGAGTCTGCTGTTGAAAATAAAATTTAAAAATCGTAAACTGTTTGTATTATTTAGATATTAAAATAATAATGTAATATTTATTCATTTATGTGGTAATTAATCCATCTATACTTTTATACCACAAGACTTTTTGATGAGTCTAACAGAGACCTTATTAAACTCGATTTTTGACAGACTTTGAATTTTGTATCCGTGTTTCCAGGTTTTGAATCGGATTTGAAGTTTTTACCTTTTTGCACCAGTTATATGCACCGTGAGCATATTACTTATGTGTAAAATAAGTTACTGTCAGACTTTAGGATTATGTAATGTGCCTATAGATAAAGCGGTGCGTTCCGCGCCGGGTGCCCGTGTTGCTTAATGAAAGTTCATTCCGTCTTGTAGGTATGATTTTGTCACCTGACTCGTTAGACCAGAAATCCTAAACCAGAATATGTGGAGTGTCGTTTCTAAGGCGTGCATGAGAAAGGGGTACTGTTAAAAGAATAACAAAACAGAAGGAGGCTTTAGTGTGAAGTTAGAGCGGTAGGAGTGGGACTGAGTAAACACTGGGGGTGGGGGGCAATAGCGCTGTTTAGATCTGCTCTGCGCTGAATACATGTGATACTTCAACTCAATGCGACCATTGTGCGATTTCTTTCTTTCCCCCTTGAACTGAAACAGTATTCCTCTGGAAGCAAGACTATGCATTTAACTAAGCGCATTGTTCCCCCCGCGCTGCTCGGTGATCTGTAACGTTAGAGGCTCTGTCCGGTACCGTAAGCGCCGAGATCGTGTCAGGCTGGGAGGGGAAGCTGGTAGCCGCGGCCGTAGCGCAGCTCACTCGGCCTGGCCTGGCCCTCTGCTGCCTTCGCATTAGCGGCTTCTGTCGGTCCGTGCAGCATTTGCTACGGCGCTATATTAGGGTGACCAGATAATCCATGTCAGGGAGGACAGGATTTGTAAACTACCATTTCAATTAAAAGGACCTGGATTTCACTTGAGCACTGAGTTCTTAATGTGTGCTAATTGGTCAGTCTCCTATAATCGTGCATGTGTCACTAGAAGAAGAGCTGAACTAATTAGCGGAGCACAGGAGCCTTTCAGTTTGAAATTAGTTTGTAAAACCCGAAGTAGCTCAAAGTGTCCTCCCTGACATGGATTATCTGGTCACCCTACGCTATATATCCATTAGCGGATTCTCAGCTTACACTGATGGCGTCTCAAACAATACGCTTTAACTGTCTGTGTCGGTGTGTTAAAAGGAAAATTAGCGATTAAGTGAACTATCATGTTCCATGTGTTCCTCAGGAATCCTCCAGGGCTGTACTGGAATTAAAAATTGGTCCCCCACTGTGAATTTTGCCAACCTGGGGGGTGGAGAGCTGGATCCCACATGAAAACTTTTTCTGACTGGAGGGGGTCCCCCGCGATGAATTTTGCCGGCCCACATACCTATCGGCCCACCAGAAAGATGCGCCATTTGCCAGATGGCTAGTCCAGTCCTGCATCCATCTATCGGCCACTTATCCTGTACATGTTTTACATGTTTTTATGTTATTTGTGTTGTATGTAGGCTTAATATATAAAAATTGCTTTGCCGACATTTATGACTTACTGTCAGTAACGATGAGTGCAGTGTGTGGCTCAGTGCCTGTGAGTGGAAGGTTGCTGGTTCAAGCCCCACGTCATCATATACATGGGCCCTTGAACTGGGCCCTTATTCCTGAGCTCCATGCGATCCTTTGCTCCTGCTGTGCTTGCTGTCACCTGCATGTCTGTCATGGGGAAGGCAATTAGAGAATTTCCCCATGGGGATCAACATCGTGTTGTTTATGTATTTGTATTGTAAGTGCCTTGGGACTCGAACCCCCGACCTTCTGGCCCTTGTCTTTAAGAGCTACATTAATTGTTCTCTATTGTCAGAGATCGCAGTGGCCTTTTGTCGCTGTTGTTGCCGATTCCCTTATCTTATCGAAACAGCAAGCAGGTATAAAGGGGTGAATCGCTGGCGTGGTCTGCGGAGGATGCCTGCACTCTGAGAGGTGACGTGTGACAGAGAGGTACCAGCAGGAGGAGGTGATAAAGACCTTTTGTCTCCACGCAGAAACTGCTTGTCTGTGTGGTCGGGCAGTAGGCCCAGACTTTCTGAACTACAGTGACGCCGTTGGCCATTGTTTAGAGGCCAGATTGGTGCTAATGAGAAGGTTCTGTGCAGTCTGAGAACGCAGGCACGTTCTTTGGAATCTTTCAAAGAATTTTAGTACATGCATTACACGTCGATGAGCAGTCACTCATTTTTCCTTTACCTTGGTGTATAACTGTGATGCCTTCGGCGGTAATATCCTCTTTTTTTTGTTTCGTTTCAAGCAAACAAACCAGAATGTCTGGTTTTCACATAACCAGGTGAGCTTTTGATAGAATGTGGATGTGATTGTTTTAGAGAGAATTTTGTCAGCAAAGACGTCTCAGTGTTATCAGCAGTGCCAAGCGACAGGGCGTTATCGAGGGCCTCTTCAGAAGGCTTATTGTGTTTGTGAGGCGGCGGTATGTCTCGCTCAGCGTGACATGTGTCGCGTGAAGGTGGGAGGTGTGACTGGTGTACGCAGGCATTGTCCTGCCTTTATTTTCTCCCCCTGACACCTTCTGACCACCCAGATCACTGCCAGTGAGGCCGGTTGAGACGAATGCCTCTGGTGGTTGTAGCCTGTGTTGCCTGTGGATGCTTTCCAGTGGTGCACTGTAACAGGCGAGGGTCAGAAGTTATGGTCGTTCTCTGGTCCTTCTTTCATGAGGATAAAATTATGCATGCCTTAGTCTTGTACATTGTCACTCACTGCATTCTTGCTGCCTGTCAGTCCTGTTTTTCTTTTTTTTCAAATGCCTACGAGTTTTTCCTCTTTGTGTGGCCTTCAGGAAATCCTGAGCAGTAACAACTGAACCACCGAGTTGTTATTAGTCTATAGGGGCGTGTTGTGCACTGGAGGTGTGGCTAAAGGGGCAGGAACAGCATAGCTGCACCAAAACATAACATTCATTCATGTAAACTCTTATTTCAGATGAACTATCTTTAGATGGCTTGATGTTGGCACTGAGAGCTGTTTTACGGGGTTATCTGGTTGTGTGCTGCTATCTTCCTTTCCGTGTGCCTGGACTGATTTATCTCTTGAATCTACTGTAAGGAATGTGAATGGTTTGACAAGCAAACAAATCATTCAAAAACTGGAGTGGATAGCAGCACAAAAGTTTAACTCTGCTAAATCGCAAAACGGTTACAAAAAAGAATCTTTCCATCTTTTTTCAGAATAATAATGAGACTCTCATTGTTTGCAGCTGGGAACCGTGTCCAAGAAGAGGGGTCTTGTGTAATTTTTTTCCCCCCGTTGCCCAATGGCGTCCCACAAAGTTGGCAGCATCCCAGGTCAGCGGCTGCAGTGTAGATACAGAGGAAACGACCAGTCTGACAGGGTTCAGAGCAACGGGAACAGCGTGTATGGGCTCAGTGTCCGAGTCCAGGGGATCGATGGACACCCCTTTGTCATACTGAATAAGCAAGACACGGAGTCCCAAGACCACAGGGCGACTGATAGAAATGGGGACATGGAGGGCTCCTTCCTTGATAACTACCAAGACTATGACTTCACAGGCAGGAATGGCGTGTCTCGCTCGCATGACCCATTTGTGGAGTACCGCTCCCAAAAGCAGAAAGCCCTGCTGAACTTCCAAAGACATCCGGAGCTGCTTAAGCCTTATGACCCAGAGAGCAATGCACTGGGGCTGGGGGATTATCAGAGCCGTTCATCCCGACCAGCCTCACTGGTGGAGCCCAGTGCCTCCTGTTTGGTTGCCCTTCCCAGGGCCACCTCCCCTGTACCTTCGCACTCCCGGAATGTTAGCCCAAATCAGAGTACCATACCTCCACCCCCTAATGACATCAGCGCCCCCGGGCAGCCTACCAGGTCCTGTGTGTCCTCCAGCACAACCAGCAGCAGCGCCAGCTCCAGCCTGGAGCGAGGCCGACCCAGTCCCAACGTGCTTCCCCTACGCAGGCATGGCTCTAGTGGTCCAGTACTGGAACCATCTACCTCCAGCAGCACACACAGACCTCCCTCAAACGACCAGCTGGAAGCACTCTATGCCGATTCTATCAACCGGCATGAGAACCGGCGCTACATTCCCTTTCTGCCTGGGACGGGCCGTGACATTGACACTGGTTCTATCCCCGGTGTCGACGAGCTCATTAACAAGTTCGATGGGAAGGATGCCGTGCAGCGTAGAGGCCGAGCAGGGCATCGGAACCGTATTGGACTAGAGGAGCGCAAGCGGTCCCGCAGCGTGGACAGTGCCTTGGCTTTCCGTCTAAGCCAAGATGAGAAACAGTCCCACAAGGACAGGTCCGTCGAGCACCAGCTACGACCCTCACAGCTGCAGCCTCCAAGGTGGACACATCACCGGGACCCTCGAGAGACAGAGTCCCCCTCTAGCCTTTCCTCTGTCCAAGGCAAACCCAACCTTGGAGGTTCCCCACAAGACAGCAGTGATTCTAGTTCCCCACAAGGCACTTCTCCAATAGCAACAACCTCTGTCCTGGGCTATAAAAGGGTGGTGAGCAGATCCTTCACAAAGCTAGCAGAGAGCCCTGGAGATGAAGCAGAGAAATCACTACGGTCTGTGAAAGTTCTGATGGGCACGACGATGACATCTTCATCCAAGCCTTCTGGTGAACCCAGCAAAAGAAGCAGTGCAGAAAGCCGTGCTCAGGTAAACAGTTCGTTTCCTCCAGTAGATGTCATAGATCCCCCGAAGTAACACAGCTATGACATGAGAACTGCTGGACATTCATCCAGTGAACAAACAGTATAACAGACGGAAGATTTAAATATGCAAAGCGGAAATATATAACTGTAAATATTTGCAACCTGATTGAATTTTATCATTTATTTATCATCCAGGTAACCCCTGATCTTTTGAAAGGTCAGCAAGAGCTTTCACAACAAACACACGAAGAGACGGCTAAACAAATACTGTTTAATTACCTAAAGGACGGGCAAGTACATCTTCATCTATTTAGAAAGTGAACAGAGTGAGATAAAGGTCTGGTTTGTGCTCCAGAGAATAGCAGCCAGATCAGTTTCATTATCATCATTTTAAGAAAAGACAGAGGTTTCACTTTGTCAGCATAAACATAGCTAGTCGTGGAGTGCCCATGTGTCATTTCTGTGACATCATCAGCCAGCACCCAGGTGGAACATATCGCATGTCCTGCAGTGTTTTTGGGAATCTGGCTACACGACATGGTCACATTTCCCTCCAGTAAACAGTGTCACTGACTGAGGCACTGCTAAGGAAGTATCAGCACTTGTAAATAGCTCATTTATAAGCTTTGGATGTAAGTTGCTCCAGTTTTGTCTGGGTTTGGCAGGTGATAGCAAAGGCTTCCAGGCAGCTCAGCGCTGCTCTTGGACACCTGGATGCTTCAGGTTTCAGGCTTCTCTCCTTCTCAGTGATGCAGCAGGATGTGTGAATTAAGCATAGTGTCACCTATGGACCGTAATCCTACTGTGTAGGAAACTAAACATATAATCCCACTGACCTATGAATATGTCTTCATCAGGGATTTTGTTTTTGTTTTTGAGTAAACCTGAGTAAACGTCTCAGGTTGCCTAATTTTGTGAGTTTGTGTCTGAATAGGAGCACTGACAACGATGACGCCACCAAAAGAAAGGTGAACCTGGTCTTTGAGAAGATCCAGACCTTGAAATCCAGAGCTGCTGGGAACATGCAGGACAGTAGCCAGGTGAGGCTCTACTGCATCCAAATTGCCTGGTCTGGCAAGCATATAAAAAAAATGGCGTTTTCAGTAAAAATGATGAAGGTTCGGTTGTTGTAATGCATCCAGTGCTGTGTCACGTTACACTTCCCTGTTGCGGGTTAGAATCTCACTGCCTCTGTGGATTCTGCAGTTTCATGACATGTGTGGTACTCTGGTGTTGATTCATAGTGTGGAGAAAGAGTTGGTGACCTTTATTTGCTCTGTGTGTGTCAGACTTCCTGGGATATTCTCCATATCATCACAACCCTGACTGTGACCTTGATGAGCAGTTATTGAGAATGGATTTATTGATGGATATGGATTGATTGATTGATGGGTGGATGGATGGATGAACAAATGGTCAAAACTCACGTGCAGTTCTGTTTGTTTTGTTTGTGTTTATGGTTATGATGATCACCCTCTTTTTAGAATACCCTAGATACACAGGGCAACACGGACAACTCAAACAGTGAGGCTTCAGGCCTTTTACGTTAGATCTTGAGTTTGTGGGCCACTTAGGTGCATGAGACCTGGACGGTGATGAGTGAGAGTGCTGTGTTAAGCTTCTACCCGTCACAGTCTTCTGAGGTGGCCAGAGAGCTGAAGGAGCTGCAGACTCAGAAGGAGGAGCTGGAGAAGAACATTTCCGAGCTGAAGAAGCTGCTCAAGGAGAAGGCTGAGGTAACGTTGCCGTTCACAGACAAGCTTCTGCCACATTCTCCTGGGTTTGTCACAGGACACGATTTGAGAGTGTAGATTTTGAACATGGACAGTCATTTTTGGAAATAATGTGAATACAAAAATATCTGCTGCTGCAGAAGTTACTGGGATCACTGAACTGGGAATTAGACTGACAGTCAGAGCTGGTTAGTCTGGCTTTGATTGACCTGATGGTTTCCCATATGCAGACCTATGCTTGACTGCTGATTATGATGTTCTCTGCAGAGGCTCAACAGTCTGGCAGCTGTATTTGACAAAGAAGTGGCAGAACGGGAGACGATGAAGGAGGAACTATCCAAGAGGCATCAGGAGAGCACGGCGCTTCAGGAGAAATTGTCTGAAGCTGTGACTGACCTTCGGAGTACGACAGAAGTGTAAGGAGATCCATGATGCTTCACCCTGCATCCCCCCTAGAGGTCACTCTTAGGGGTGCAATGAGATGGAAGTTTCTTCAGCTCAATGAGCTCACTGTCTGCAGATGCTTTACTTTACTTGTAACCTGGTACAGCTTCCAGAAGACAAAGTGTGTTTCTCAATACCAAGTATGTAAAAATTGTACTTGTGGTCTTGGCAAGACTGATTTTGTTAACTTGCTTTCCAAGAATAAATTTGGGGTGCAATAAATCAAGGGATTGGCCTCGTTTTGCGAGGATGCAACTAACGTATCCTTGATATTTGGGGAGGCAAGAATGACATCCAAGCATTTTTACCATCCTCTGTACTTTTGTTTTTGAGTTTTGGAACTGGTCTTTGGCAATGGAAGATGATGTAAAACGGGCATGTGAGAACACAAGTACAGTCAAGTATGCATATTGAGAAAGACCTAAAGACTGATTTGCTTTTTGGGTAGACTGGCTGTGTCGTAAGTGATGGACTGGCCTGTGTTTCTTTAGGCTCCTCCAGGTGAAGCTGGAGAGGGAGCAGTGCCAGAAGGAGGTCAGGGACCTGCAGGAGCAGCTGTCGGAGATGCACGACGAGCTGGACGGTGCCAAGAGGGCCGTGATTGACCTTGGGGAGAAGGACGCCATCATTGAAGTAAACCAGTTCCCTGTTACTATAAGCAATATGAAAAGAAATTGATTAAATTTTGGGGACTTTGTTGTTGGTGATGGTCGAGGCTAAAAGGTTGCAGGTTATTGAAACCTTGAAATGGGCGTCTTTTTGCATGTTTGAGAAGAGCCTGATCTACTCAGCAAATAACCATATGATGTCAGCAAAGGCATTAGGAGGCATTTTACATTATTATAGGCCAAAGTAAGACCCAGACCACCCTAATTATCCTGTAGGACATGATGCAGATGAAACTGGACTTCCAGGACGTGCTGTTGCTGAAAGAGGAGCAGGAGGAGCTGCTACGGAGGCGTGAGCGGGAGCTCACGGCCCTCAAGGGGGCACTGAAGGAGGAGGTGGCTACGCACGACAAAGAAGTGGACACAATGAGGGCACAGTACGAGCAGGAGATCTGCAAGCTGCAGACTGTGCTTCAGGAGGCCAGACAGGTCAGAACAAAGTGGCGTTGAGTTGGTGGAGCAAGATCACAGCATTTGAGGTTAACATTATTCAAAGCAGACAAGTACTTAAAAGAATGTTTGTTGATAAAGGGACTCTGTCCTTGGGGGTGATACGGTCATATTGTACTGACCTTCAGAGATCATCTTAGCCTTCTTTGTTTTTCCAGCATGTTCTGCTGTAAATGTTCTAAGCTGTCCGCTTATTTTCAAGAAACACCTGGTAGAAGATAAATACGTCACCTTGAACAACTGATAATTAGGAATGAAATTTGGCAGTTTCCACAAAGCCTCTAGGGGAAGCAGGGGATGTCTTGTCAGGGATTTATCAAATCTAACAGCTTACACTTTTACTCATTTACACATGGGAATATTTGAAGCAATTTAGGATAACTGTCTTTCTCAAGGGTGTGACCCCGGTCCTGCCCAAGCCCCTCATGCTGTGTGAATTTGGTCCAGTTTCATCCCACCAGACTACCAACTGGGAATGTGAAATTCATACAAAGCACACAGCAGATGACTGGCTGTGAACGTCAGCTGAGGGCTGCACGCAGCAAGCTGCTAAATGGCCGCGATGCTGGTGAGATTTTTCTCGACCAGTTAAGATGACACTAACAAGCTGAGGTCTCTGACCTGGATCATTCGTCGTTACATCGCCTTAGAATTTATGATGACACCATTTTTTGTGACAACTCATTTTTGAAGCCATTTATTTCAAACGTTCATACGATTCTTGTAGAGCATGCTGAGTTTTGTCTGAGGGGAGATTTGGGCTTGGCAGGGGTGCAGTTAAGTCTGAGTGAGGAGCTGCTTATAAGAATGAATGAATGAATGAATCAATGATTGAATAATTAATGAATGATTAATGAATGAATGAATCAATTAATGATTAAATAATTAATGAATGATTAATGAATGAATGAATGAATGAATTCTATTCTGCTTCTTTTACAGTAATTTCATAATTATAATAACAATCCTCATACAAATAACATCCAGCAACAGCTGAGATCCAGAAAGGTGCAGCCCTACCCTGTATTTTCAAACCAAATTTACAATTTAATCCTTCATTTTAAACATCAGTTCAAAGTACAATATACAAAATATAAAGCAAATACAAATACAAGGCGAAATGCAAAACCTAACTATGATACACCCAAAAAAAAACAATAAAAACCCCCCATTCTCTAATCTCACACAAAACTCTTTCTTAAATTGTGCAAAATGTGTAAAAGTTTTTTTAGTCATTTTTAGATCATCTTCTAAATTGCTCCAGATTTTAACTCCTGTAACTAAATGAATCAGATCCTTAGCCTTTGAGGGTTTCACCCATAGCCGCGTCCTCCTCCGTCTCTGCTGGTCTCCCTCCCTCACTTAAGTCGGAACATAAGCGCCCCTCCCCTTGGGTGTGTAGTGCCTTTTGTTCTTAGCTTGTTGGCTTTGGATCAAGGCACCAAATCAGCAATGGTGTCACTTACATCATCCACCGCGCGTTCCTCCCGTTTACGTGGAAAATGCATGTGAGAATGTTTCCATTACTGCTCCATGTGGGGTACACTCGTACCGAGACTGGTGACCTGCTGGACATGCATGGATATCACCTACAGACGGCAACAGGGGCCGTGAGGCAGGTGTGTGTGTGTATTGTGGAAATATTCCATTTTATTTGTTGTTCATTTCTCCGAGCACAATGGCCTCTGTTTGTGCGCGTGAATGCCCATTGTTCGGACCTCGTGAGAGCTGTGTCTGCGCAGTACTGGCCTGAATACCCCTCTCTCCATTGTTCTCCCGGACTGTGACTTGGCAGCAGTAGGAGACTAAGGTGCCAAGTTGCCCGCAAGCCTTTCTGGGACACACAATTACCCTCTTTTGAGCGGTGGCGCTCGGTGCCGGGGAGGGCGGCCTTCGCCTCTGTGTGTCATGGACTTCTTCTCGCTGCAAGGTGAAAGCCAGGGGTTTACACAGCTTTCACTGAGCGTTAGCGAAGAGCCCGGATTTGTCAAGGCGATTCACTGCTGGCAACAGTGGCATTGTGGGAACGCTGGTCCCAGAGAGGCGGGGAGAGGATCAGCACCTCAGATAACTCCATCTGCCATCTGAGGCACTCGTGCCGAAATACTCCGCAGCCTGGCAAGACCCCGAGCTCTGGCCTACTTGTTAATTTGTCCAGGCATTTTGCAGGCGGCTCTGGGCTGTTGACTCAGTCGCATCCTACCTCCTCCACAGGGGAGACCGCAGCGTCCTCTGCTGCTCCGTCTCCCCGGGTACTCGGGGTCGGCTCTGCACCTTATCTCGCTATCTTGGCTTACTCTAGCATCGAAGGGTCGAGATCTCCACTCGTATTTTTAAAAGCCAGTGCTTCCTCTGGGCTTTTGAAGTGGCCCTCCTGTCCTCAGAACATCTGTGCAGAAGCAAACATCTGAGTCCGGTCAGAGCCCTTTGTCTGAGGATCTCGACCGTGTGCCGCGCATTTCCGCAATCGGCATGCCTTTGGTCTCAGCAGTCAGGAAATCCACGCGGCTCCTCCATTGTGATCCTTGTACAAAGTGAAAAGCCCCGTGCTGTGGCAGAGACAGCGGGGAATGAGGGCTGCGAGTCATCTGCATTTTTCCCAACAAACGCATCTTAAGCCTGTCTTGAGGGCTTGAATCCTCTGTTTTGTGGACACCTTAAAATGGGAGTTCATTCATTTGCATCTCAGTAATAGAGCTCACTTGTATCTTGAATGAATGACCTAATTAGTGTTTATTAATAGTTGTATTGTTCTTTTAAAATGTCTCTCTCTTGGATAGCACCATCGTGAAGTATGCTCGGCACCCCTTAGGCTCACCACTGCCTGTGTCAGATTTCGGTAACTGTCAAACTCACAATGGCGTGCACGCAAGACGTCCACGAGCAGAGCTGACGTGTGCTGTCGTTATGCTCTCTGACAGCTTTCTGTGTGTGTGACGGCCGTGACAAACGGAGAAGGCTTCGTTTGAGCTCCCCGACTGCGAGTCACGGCGGACGGAGTGAGATCAGTCCGCAGTCATTTCACAGAGGCGTGAATAACCGCCTGTCCTGCTTAGCACAGTTCTTCTCGGTATTTGATATTGTAAGAGATATAGCAATTACAATAAAATGTTTGAATGTGGTTGTACCATAATTCATGCATACAAATAACTTTAACTAGGTTATCGCTGTGACCGTCAGCTCCCACCTTAACCAGTTAATGACAACGGCCATGACTTTGTCCTTGTGAGCAGGTTCACGGTCATGTTCGGCGAATGCGTGACGCAGTGGGAGTGAGGTCGCCACATTGTGTGGTGGGTGATGTGGGGCCTTGAGGGTCGTCCGCCATGGGCCCCCTCCAGCTCCGCCCCCTTCGGAGTAGAAGTGATTAATGCTAAACTATAAATAAACAGTAAGAAAACACAAGTGGCCCTTGGACCTGAAGGCCAGGCAGGGTGGGGTCTGTGAAACTCAACAAATACATAGGACACTCTTTCTTGTAATGCTGGGGGTGGGGGGTGGGGGGGTTCCACTGCTTCCTCGTCCCAGGCCCGGTGGGTCCCTGTATGGCTCCTGGGCTTGAGTTCTTGGAGGTTTGCCATCTATATATCTATATAGACGTTTCACGCTAATTAAGCCTAACGAAGGCCCGGGGTGAGGTGAGGAAGGTGGGTTAATGGCATTCAGGCCTAATGACAAATTGCCCTCGGAGCGGACCGGCGTGTAGGATAACCTAGCAGCGTCATGTAACGTCTGCAAGCAAGTTCAGGGTGGAACTGGGGAGTTCATCAGCTGGGAATGTCCTCATTAGGAAACCATCTGCATCTTCAGGTTAATCAAGTGCTTTATTGTTTGAGGTTGTATTCAGTCACCATCGCAGAAGACGACCTGACCATACGTTTCTTCCCAAACTATTCCGAGCTCCAGAATCAGGGGAGCCTCGCTGTGGTTAATAATCTGTCTGCGGGTTGATAAATGACTTGACACTGTGTCCGGCTTGAACTCTGAGAGGCCTCGTGGAGGGCTGACGGTCCTAACTGCCAGCTGGTGGAGGTTCAGGCCTAGTCTGGACTATGGTCTCCAGAGATCAGAGAGAAGCCCATCTCCGAAGTGGGTAATGAGCAGCCAAGATGCTCAGCGCAGCTGTACGTCGGTATGCATCAGTGGTGTGCATAGTGGCTGTAATTTAAGCAAGCGCATAATCGCCTACAAATAAGGCCAGTCCTTTGACCTTTGGTAGCTCAGGCATCATGGAAACTTACTGTTACAGCAGTGTCAGAATTCAGGACCAGTCACGCAGAATGTTTACTGCAAATCGCTACTTTTGTAAAAGTGAAGCACTGGGAGATGGGACTCATATCCCGGCGTGGATGTGGCTCTTTGGTCTGAAACACTCATTTTAAGTGTTTTACATGCTGCAGACTCATAAACAACTTTTTCCACATATATTTAATTTGTGTTTGTTGAGCAAGAAACTACAAAAGGAACTATACCGAAGAATTTATAAGCACATATAAAGATGACATAAAGGAATCTCTTCCAACCTCTTCCAGCAAATGGCTGGGTAATGTAGCCCTTTCATAAATCTGAGCAGGGAAACATGCCAACATCAAGCTGTACGATGTCAAATGGTTCATCATCAAAGCTAGTCACATGGTGGGTCACATGGTTGGTCACATGTGCTTCAGAGACATATGTTGGGGGTCTCTTGGGAGGCTCTGCCAGTAATGGTGCTCTTCCCTTAACATAAACGGTGATTTGAATCAGCAGCACTTCTTCTGTGTGAAGCTAGTGTGTAGGTGTGTAGAGTCTCCTGTAGTCTGTTATATAAAGAATGTCGTCAGTTTGTCAGAGAAATTCCGCCCTGGGTCACACAGATGGCTTAAATGTAGCCATCTAATGCCTCGCTGTGCACGTCCTTCCATGCCACCAGTATCAGTTGCCGTGTCCTGATATGAGACCTCATCTACCCCCGCGCCCCCAGGGCAGTGCCGCAGTATGCCAGGAAAAGGCAGACCTGGAGGCAGCGCGGGGGGAGGCCGCGGGCCGGGCGCAGCGCCTGGCACAGGACCTTGAGCGGCTGCGCAGGCGAGAGCACGAGCTGGAGAACACGGTGGCCGAACTCAACCACGTCATCGACGAGGCCAAGCTGAAGGAGAGCCTGCTGAGTGACCGTGTGGCCCGACTAGAGGTGAGTCAGGCTCAGCTCGGGAGTCTGGGGCGGGTAACCCCAACCTATTAGGGCCCAAATAGACATCCTGCCCACCAGCCCTCAAGGAGGTCATCTACTGGGAGCAGAATGGCCACAATGGGGTGTGCCTGCTTACTGCAAGCTTGGCCATCCTGAGTGCAAACAGGCACAGTAATATTCACTTAAAACTGTCTATAAATAAAAGTGAATCGATTGTCTTAAACCGGATAGCTGGTTTACCAGGTTGAGAGGTTTACCTACAACATCTTCCACATCAAGCACTGAAATCCATGCAGTTTGATTAATAGGAGGAGTTCCTCTTTGTTCTCCATGCAGCTACGTTGTTGCACTTTAGCAGACTGGCACCAACATCACCGGCTTTGGCTGGTGTCCATGTCTTGTCTGTGTGCAGAGGGAGAAGGGGCAGCTGGACGAGTCCTTAAGGGAGATGAAAGGGAAGGAGGAGGAGATGTCTCAAGCCAACAGCACGTTGGCCACACGTCTGGAGGACAAGCAGGTTGGCTAGTTTTGCTGAGAGATTTGTTGGGGAAATGCTGTGGTAGATAGAAGGTTCTTCATTATTTATTTTTTAAGTAAATTTGCTCATTTTAGTAATTGCAAAATTCATGGCTTGTTCCAATATGGAGATGGGTCATTCAGGCTGATCTTTCAAAAATCACTGCAGAGGGACTTCACAAAACTGAGCCAGGACCACACGGAGCTCAGCAGCAGGCTGAGGGAGGAGCAGCTTCACAAGGAACAGCTGAGGAGGTCCTCGAGCAAGGTCGAGGATGAGCGTAATCAGCTGGGAAGAGCCATGGAGAAGCTGCAGAAGGAGGTGGGTGCAAGCCAGGTCCCCCCCAGTTAGCCTCTGTCCGCTTGCTCACTCAGCAACGGGCTGCTTGGCGATGCTGTGAAATGCTCCCTGTGTGTGTGTGTGTGTGTGTGTGTCGTCCTGCAGCAGTGACTGATGCCACATTCCATTTACCTTGGAGGTCGGACGTCAGACTTGGGAATGACACACCCAAGTTAACCACATTCTAGTACCACAAATTGAAAAACAATTTAGCAATACCAGGGTCATGTTTCAAAAAGCCGGATTTCTTGCTTAGCTGGATAACTTAAACTGGATTTAAGGTATCTTTATACTAAACAGTATAAAACTAATAACATTCACTTCTGTTGATAAAGGGCACAGCCATCTTGAATTCTGAGGTCCGACTTTCCGAGTCAGAATTCTGACTTCAGGGGGCATTCCAGTTGAAATTTCCAACTCGGAACTCAGAAATTCCGACTTCCCAGTAGTAGACACCCCAGAGTGACCTTCCTCACTGCCCCTCCCACAGCTAAGTGACAGAGTGAAGGCCTCTCAGACGTCTGCCCAGGAGCTGCAGGGACAGCTGGAGGAGCTGAAGGAGAAGAGCCGCCGAGAGCATGCGGACCTGCACAAGCAGCACCGAGAGAAGGTCTCAGAGCTGGAGCAATCCCAGCAGGCCACCAGGAGGCTGCAGGAGAAGGTGCGACCTCTGGGGGGCGCTGGTCTCACAGGCTTGTGATGATGTCAGGTGACCGTTCCATGGGGAAGGGCTCTGGAAGCTGTGGGTGAAAGGTGAAAGTCCACAGCATCACGAAGAATACCCTAGAGTTAATGCCACTCATTAAGCAATTTGTATACTCATAACAAATTCTGGAGGAAGTGATGCGGTTCATAAAAGAGGCATTCCTTGAACTCAAACCAGTCGCTCTGTGACGAGAGCTGCCTCTCTGTGTACTGATACGAGCATTGGGGCTTTCACAGAATGACCCGTAATCTGCTGATATGAAGGCCTGCATTAATGTGTCAGGCCACTGCTGATGTGAAGGCCTGCATTAATGTGTCAGGCCACTGCTGATGTGAAGGCCTGCATTATTGTGTCAGGCCACTGCTGGGGTCCTAATGACAGCGCTGTCTTGCTTGGGTCCAGTTTTGCTTTTTGCATTAATTCCTTCACTTTCTGGCTTGTCTGTGAAGCTCCAGCAGCTGATAATATCGAGGCTCTGTCTGGCTAAGGCCGTAACATGAGTGTTCGAAGCCTTCTGGACACCAGACACCCCCCTAATGTCCCCTGGCTGGGAGACCAGTAAGGACACATGCTGTTGATGTGTCACCTCAGGTCTTGCCCTGGTGAAATCGTGTCATTATTTTTGTCGCTTGTGTTGCCGGCCTTGAGTCAGATTCCCTCCCTGTGCTAATCTCATCATAGCTCTGAAATGATAAATTATGAATAATAATCAATTATAAATTCTTAATGTGAGTAACTAAAAACAGGAAACAATGTTACCCACAAACATGCAGGATTACTTATTTATAACATTTCATAGTGATTAGCCACTGCAGCCAAATGTGAAACAGCAGCAGACCTACTGCTGTCACTCTCCCTGTAAATGGAAATATAAATGTTTGCATAAATACAAGTTTGGTTATGAGAATAGAGGTAAGTGCCGCAGTGCATATGGCCTCATTTTGGCACTCAGAGTAGTTTCGGTGTGTTTGTTTGTGTGCAGCTGTCCAGCCTGGAGGAAGAACTCAGGGTGAGCAGGGAGGAGCTGGAGGGGGCGGAGCAGAAGGGCCGGAGTCTGGAGCAGCGGGTGCAGGAGCTGGAGCTGGAGGTGGAGGCCAAAGCGCGGGCCAAAGACGAGCGCTCGCGGCAGATTAAACTGCTAGAGGTACGCAGCCGGCGTAAGAAGCGGACATTGGAGTCCAGCAAAGAGAGTTAAGAACACGGCTGGAGGCTTCGTCGTTCAGGCTGCTTATGAGCTGCCCGTTCAGAGTGAATCTAAGCGACTCACCTTGAGTTCTCTCCTTCACTGTTTTTGGGAGATGTTGTCCTCCTTTGCTGGACAGTGTGAGTCTGAGTGTGAGTCTGTCTGTCCCATTTGTTTTTTTTTTTCTTTTTCAGTCCAGACACGTGGCTCTTTGCGTTTGATGTCTTGCATGCATCCCCTTGGGCCCGCGTCCTTGAGGGAGCCTCTCTTCGCCCTTTAGCATACAGGAAGTCAGTCGGACTTAAATGAGTTTCACGGAAGCTTTGACTGTGTGAAACTGCACTCGTTGTCGGTTGAACGTCCCGTTGATGGCAAAACACTACAGATGGAAACCAAACATTTCCACAAACAGTGCAGAGTGCTTTGATAGCCTGAAAGGTCAAAGCAGGAGCACAGCAGTAGGCCAGGGGGTTGATAGCCCCCCCTCTCCCGGTGCGTTGGGTGGCGTCGAGTGAGCAGTGCTCCCCGCTCACTCAGTGGGGCCTGCAGCCCGTGGAATGGAGATCGGCAGGTGACAGGAGGCATGCGGGGGGGTCTGTGTGCCCTCCGGCTCCCCCATACTGGTGTGGAACCAGCCATCCTTCATTGGGATAAAGGAAAAAGGTCAAAAAGGAAGGAGTTCCTGTGTTTGTCCTGCAGAGGGAAGCTGCATGGTTGCTTCCCTTCACAGAGAACCACCAAAGCGGCTGCATCAGAGGCGTGTGTTTGAGATAAGCGCAGAAGTAAAAATGGAACTGCTGGCCTCCCTGAACGACGTGGATTCTCTGTCCCACCCAGGAGAAGATCTCTCAGCTGGAGCTGGACCTGGAGGAAGAGCGTGGCAGCGGAGACCTGCTGATGGAAAGGCTTGAACGAGGGAAGGAGCAGGTGAGTCCTGCGCAGTCACACACTGCCCCCTGCTGGTCAGGGTGGGAGCTCACTGAATCACCCACCAGGGTCTCGATCACTCCTCAGCCATGAAGTTCACTTAGCAGCCACGTTGAAGATCGGACGCAGTGTCGCCCAGCTCCCATCCACACCAGCTCCCCAGCTGCTATTGACCACCCAAAACATCCAGTCAAGCCAGAGCTGATCCTGAACCTGAGTTCCCAGTCGGCTGTTTTTCGTCATTAGGCACCGGCTCTGATGACCACACCAGCTCCCCAAACCAGCATTACTCAGTACTTACTTATTCCTATGCGGGACAGTACAAAGGATTTGATCTGTTTACAATATACAGTCCAGCAAGTGCGAGCAGCCGTGCGTAGAGTGGTTCCCATCCTGTGCGTGACCTCGCAGTCGCGTCCTTAAGAAAACCTCTGAGACTATTTCCCTTTAGCAAACCTGAGGCTGTACTAATAGGCAGCGCGTTAACGTGAGGGTCACCCCAGATAACAAGCGTCTGCTCGGCAAATACGATACTCGACTTAGACGATGCGGGAGAGGGAGACTGCAGGATGTAGGAAGGTCCTGATCATAAGGCCTAGGAAATGGTTTGAACGTCCTTCTGTAAACGCTGCATCGGCCCAGTTTCAAAGATGTTGTCCCGTAGTCTAAATTCAAGAATAAATATGGTTCCTGGGAAAATGGGAGCCGGTCAGCAGAATGTGGCTGAATTCTGCCGAATCGGCTGGTTTTAACCGCATCGCGATGTTGATGCAGGCAGAGGGGCAGATGCAAGAGGTCAGGAACACGCAGATATCTGGAGGGGAATGCAGGTTTCCTGAGCTAATTAACCAGATAAAGTATCAGTGAGGCTGTTATAACCTGTATCCTGGGCGGGGGCCAACCGCAAAATCTCACCCATCACTCTGAGTAACGTGCATGAACTGAAAAAGTCAAAAGGGTCCCTTTAAAATTGACCTGAGATCAGGTGGAAGAAAGTACAAGAGTTGTGGGGGTGGGGGCGAGTCAGAAAAGGCCCAAGTGTTGACTTCTAATCCCGGGGTGTGAGGGAAGGAATCCAGTTCCACAGAGCTGTGACTGAGGGGAGGGCTGCCAGGGTGAGTTACCACGGAAACAGCAGAGTGCAGCTTTCTGGGGGAGTCGAGCGATGGCGGGGGGGTGGGGGGGTCTCAGCAGCGCGATGAACACCTGCGTCTCCTTCTTGGCGCCAGGTGCTCGCGTCCCGTACAAATGAACCCCCCCCCCCGTCACTCGCCAGCGCTCCCAAAGCTGATTATTTTTACCGCGTGTTCCTGTCTGCCGTGTCTGCTGACTCAGATCCCCGACGCGCTGAGTTGTATGCGCCCCTAATGCAGGCCATCGCTCTTCAGACGGGGCTGAGGCCAGCCCTTAATTGGCATAAAATATCGCCCATTCAGGTCCGGGTTGTGGGAAAAAAAGCCATCTATTCTTTATGGGTAAGAGGCTCATTAAAGAAAGGGCACTTTCACATCATACGCGACGGTTTCCAGGTCTAACTTTTAGCGTCGCTCCGATCGTGGAAGTTATTTCTCAAACATCGTGTCATTACTACTTAATCAGGATGTGATTAAACTTTGAACAGCCTGGGTTCTGTTTCCATGTCAAGGTCATGGTGCTTCATCGTACTCGCAGCCTAAAATGATCTCGCTGAGTGTGTCGCCCTCGCTTTGGAAAGGGCTGCTGTGAAAAGCCAGGCCCCGTTGCTAACGTTTAAATGCTAATTTCGGTCCGACCTTCAGTGGCTCGCTCCCAGGGAGCGCAGAGATGCCAGCACATTCCTGCTCAGGTGTTTAAAAGGCAGTTCTTGGTACTACAGATTCATTAACCTTAGAGCTGCGCGCCATGGATGTGGAATGCGGCTGGATTGGGTTTCTCCATAAAGGCGTGCTTTCACGCCGCTGAGTGACGTCCATTCGGCTCCGGCTCTCTTGAGCTCTCATGTGTGCATGTTTTTTGTTTCTTTGACCCCTTTCATGCACTTTTGGCAGCTGGATCAGATCAGGAGTGACCTCCTGCAAGAGAGAGCAGCCAAGCAGGACTTGGAGTGTGACAAGATCGCTCTGGAGAGGCAGGTGGGTCCCCCGCCGCATGCCTGTATTCTCTACTGTCATACCGCACAGATTATCGACTGGAGTTCTACTTCACCTCCAAACCGATACAGAACAAGGACTTGAGGAGCAGGGTGGCTCACCTGGAAGCTTCTCAGAAATCCAGCAAGGGGGGCATGGTGCCCCAGCTAGAAGAGCGGGTCCAGGAGCTGGAGCAAAGACTGGAGGTGGAGGAGCGGTAGGTCCTGCCGACACTCGGGCCCCAGGGAAGGCAGAGGATCAGCGCTTGTATCGGCTCCCTGCCTCATATATTAAGAGCTGATGATGGATAGGGGCCCTGTACATGGAATCAGGACAGCCGGTTCTCTGTGAAATGACCCCTAGAGGCTGTGTGCCATTAAAATCNTGAAGGCCTGCATTAATGTGTCAGGCCACTGCTGATGTGAAGGCCTGCATTATTGTGTCAGGCCACTGCTGGGGTCCTAATGACAGCGCTGTCTTGCTTGGGTCCAGTTTTGCTTTTTGCATTAATTCCTTCACTTTCTGGCTTGTCTGTGAAGCTCCAGCAGCTGATAATATCGAGGCTCTGTCTGGCTAAGGCCGTAACATGAGTGTTCGAAGCCTTCTGGACACCAGACACCCCCCTAATGTCCCCTGGCTGGGAGACCAGTAAGGACACATGCTGTTGATGTGTCACCTCAGGTCTTGCCCTGGTGAAATCGTGTCATTATTTTTGTCGCTTGTGTTGCCGGCCTTGAGTCAGATTCCCTCCCTGTGCTAATCTCATCATAGCTCTGAAATGATAAATTATGAATAATAATCAATTATAAATTCTTAATGTGAGTAACTAAAAACAGGAAACAATGTTACCCACAAACATGCAGGATTACTTATTTATAACATTTCATAGTGATTAGCCACTGCAGCCAAATGTGAAACAGCAGCAGACCTACTGCTGTCACTCTCCCTGTAAATGGAAATATAAATGTTTGCATAAATACAAGTTTGGTTATGAGAATAGAGGTAAGTGCCGCAGTGCATATGGCCTCATTTTGGCACTCAGAGTAGTTTCGGTGTGTTTGTTTGTGTGCAGCTGTCCAGCCTGGAGGAAGAACTCAGGGTGAGCAGGGAGGAGCTGGAGGGGGCGGAGCAGAAGGGCCGGAGTCTGGAGCAGCGGGTGCAGGAGCTGGAGCTGGAGGTGGAGGCCAAAGCGCGGGCCAAAGACGAGCGCTCGCGGCAGATTAAACTGCTAGAGGTACGCAGCCGGCGTAAGAAGCGGACATTGGAGTCCAGCAAAGAGAGTTAAGAACACGGCTGGAGGCTTCGTCGTTCAGGCTGCTTATGAGCTGCCCGTTCAGAGTGAATCTAAGCGACTCACCTTGAGTTCTCTCCTTCACTGTTTTTGGGAGATGTTGTCCTCCTTTGCTGGACAGTGTGAGTCTGAGTGTGAGTCTGTCTGTCCCATTTGTTTTTTTTTTTCTTTTTCAGTCCAGACACGTGGCTCTTTGCGTTTGATGTCTTGCATGCATCCCCTTGGGCCCGCGTCCTTGAGGGAGCCTCTCTTCGCCCTTTAGCATACAGGAAGTCAGTCGGACTTAAATGAGTTTCACGGAAGCTTTGACTGTGTGAAACTGCACTCGTTGTCGGTTGAACGTCCCGTTGATGGCAAAACACTACAGATGGAAACCAAACATTTCCACAAACAGTGCAGAGCACTTTGATAGCCTGAAAGGTCAAAGCAGGAGCACAGCAGTAGGCCAGGGGGTTGATAGCCCCCCCTCTCCCGGTGCGTTGGGTGGCGTCGAGTGAGCAGTGCTCCCCGCTCACTAAGTGGGGCCTGCAGCCCGTGGAATGGAGATCGGCAGGTGACAGGAGGCATGCGGGGGGGTCTGTGTGCCCTCCGGCTCCCCCATACTGGTGTGGAACCAGCCATCCTTCATTGGGATAAAGGAAAAAGGTCAAAAAGGAAGGAGTTCCTGTGTTTGTCCTGCAGAGAGAAGCTGCATGGTTGCTTCCCTTCACAGAGAACCACCAAAGCGGCTGCATCAGAGGCGTGTGTTTGAGATAAGCGCAGAAGTAAAAATGGAACTGCTGGCCTCCCTGAACGACGTGGATTCTCTGTCCCACCCAGGAGAAGATCTCTCAGCTGGAGCTGGACCTGGAGGAAGAGCGTGGCAGCGGAGACCTGCTGATGGAAAGGCTTGAACGAGGGAAGGAGCAGGTGAGTCCTGCGCAGTCACACACTGCCCCCTGCTGGTCAGGGTGGGAGCTCACTGAATCACCCACCAGGGTCTCGATCACTCCTCAGCCATGAAGTTCACTTAGCAGCCACGTTGAAGATCGGACGCAGTGTCGCCCAGCTCCCATCCACACCAGCTCACCAGCTGCTATTGACCACCCAAAACATCCAGTCAAGCCAGAGCTGATCCTGAACCTGAGTTCCCAGTCGGCTGTTTTTCGTCATTAGGCACCGGCTCTGATGACCACACCAGCTCCCCAAACCAGCATTACTCAGTACTTACTTATTCCTATGCGGGACAGTACAAAGGATTTGATCTGTTTACAATATACAGTCCAGCAAGTGCGAGCAGCCGTGCGTAGAGTGGTTCCCATCCTGTGCGTGACCTCGCAGTCGCGTCCTTAAGAAAACCTCTGAGACTATTTCCCTTTAGCAAACCTGAGGCTGTACTAATAGGCAGCGCGTTAACGTGAGGGTCACCCCAGATAACAAGCGTCTGCTCGGCAAATACGATACTCGACTTAGACGATGCGGGAGAGGGAGACTGCAGGATGTAGGAAGGTCCTGATCATAAGGCCTAGGAAATGGTTTGAACGTCCTTCTGTAAACGCTGCATCGGCCCAGTTTCAAAGATGTTGTCCCGTAGTCTAAATTCAAGAATAAATATGGTTCCTGGGAAAATGGGAGCCGGTCAGCAGAATGTGGCTGAATTCTGCCGAATCGGCTGGTTTTAACCGCATCGCGATGTTGATGCAGGCAGAGGGGCAGATGCAAGAGGTCAGGAACACGCAGATATCTGGAGGGGAATGCAGGTTTCCTGAGCTAATTAACCAGATAAAGTATCAGTGAGGCTGTTATAACCTGTATCCTGGGCGGGGGCCAACCGCAAAATCTCACCCATCACTCTGAGTAACGTGCATGAACTGAAAAAGTCAAAAGGGTCCCTTTAAAATTGACCTGAGATCAGGTGGAAGAAAGTACAAGAGTTGTGGGGGTGGGGGCGAGTCAGAAAAGGCCCAAGTGTTGACTTCTAATCCCGGGGTGTGAGGGAAGGAATCCAGTTCCACAGAGCTGTGACTGAGGGGAGGGCTGCCAGGGTGAGTTACCACGGAAACAGCAGAGTGCAGCTTTCTGGGGGAGTCGAGCGATGGCGGGGGGGTGGGGGGGTCTCAGCAGCGCGATGAACACCTGCGTCTCCTTCTTGGCGCCAGGTGCTCGCGTCCCGTACAAATGAACCCCCCCCCCCGTCACTCGCCAGCGCTCCCAAAGCTGATTATTTTTACCGCGTGTTCCTGTCTGCCGTGTCTGCTGACTCAGATCCCCGACGCGCTGAGTTGTATGCGCCCCTAATGCAGGCCATCGCTCTTCAGACGGGGCTGAGGCCAGCCCTTAATTGGCATAAAATATCGCCCATTCAGGTCCGGGTTGTGGGAAAAAAAGCCATCTATTCTTTATGGGTAAGAGGCTCATTAAAGAAAGGGCACTTTCACATCATACGCGACGGTTTCCAGGTCTAACTTTTAGCGTCGCTCCGATCGTGGAAGTTATTTCTCAAACATCGTGTCATTACTACTTAATCAGGATGTGATTAAACTTTGAACAGCCTGGGTTCTGTTTCCATGTCAAGGTCATGGTGCTTCATCGTACTCGCAGCCTAAAATGATCTCGCTGAGTGTGTCGCCCTCGCTTTGGAAAGGGCTGCTGTGAAAAGCCAGGCCCCGTTGCTAACGTTTAAATGCTAATTTCGGTCCGACCTTCAGTGGCTCGCTCCCAGGGAGCGCAGAGATGCCAGCACATTCCTGCTCAGGTGTTTAAAAGGCAGTTCTTGGTACTACAGATTCATTAACCTTAGAGCTGCGCGCCATGGATGTGGAATGCGGCTGGATTGGGTTTCTCCATAAAGGCGTGCTTTCACGCCGCTGAGTGACGTCCATTCGGCTCCGGCTCTCTTGAGCTCTCATGTGTGCATGTTTTTTGTTTCTTTGACCCCTTTCATGCACTTTTGGCAGCTGGATCAGATCAGGAGTGACCTCCTGCAAGAGAGAGCAGCCAAGCAGGACTTGGAGTGTGACAAGATCGCTCTGGAGAGGCAGGTGGGTCCCCCGCCGCATGCCTGTATTCTCTACTGTCATACCGCACAGATTATCGACTGGAGTTCTACTTCACCTCCAAACCGATACAGAACAAGGACTTGAGGAGCAGGGTGGCTCACCTGGAAGCTTCTCAGAAATCCAGCAAGGGGGGCATGGTGCCCCAGCTAGAAGAGCGGGTCCAGGAGCTGGAGCAAAGACTGGAGGTGGAGGAGCGGTAGGTCCTGCCGACACTCGGGCCCCAGGGAAGGCAGAGGATCAGCGCTTGTATCGGCTTCCCTCTTCATAGATTAAGAGCTGATGATGGATAGGGGCCCTGTACATGGAATCAGGACAGCCGGTTCTCTGTGAAATGACCCCTAGAGGCTGTGTGCCATTAAAATCTGGGCACTTGGGCTAGCTGGCAGGAGAGGGCTCACCCGGGGTGCCATCTGTTGCCAGGGACCGTGCCAACCTGCAACTGGCAAACCGTCGCCTGGAGAGGAAGGTGAAGGAGATGATGATGCAGGTGGATGACGAGCATCACTCTCTGCAGGACCAGAAGGACCAGGTGAGTGCAGAGGTCGCCATGGAGATCCTGCAGGAACAGACACGCCGAAGGCAGCCGTCACCGCCCCGTAAACTCACCTTTCTTACTGAGGGATTTTTGATTGGCTGGTTGGCACCTGAGCCAGAGCACCAGCTCCTTAAATAACACTCATTTGTCTAGACCTGTCGATGAGCCACTCTTCACGGCCTGCTGCCTTTCAATTTCCTTCCTCGCTAATTGGTTAATTACAGTCATTATTTGGGCATAGTCACCTCACCTGGTGTTCCAAGGCTAAATAAATCCCTTCCTCAAGTCGGCTTGAAAGCCACGCGGATGTTGCGCTGCCCCTGGCGGACGGAGCCCGGTACACTGGCTGCTGTGCCTTAACCCCCTGTAACCTGCGCCGCAGCTCAACCTGCGCCTGAAGACACTGAAGAGGCAGATGGACGAGGCGGAGGAAGAGATCGAGCGGCTGGAGCATGGAAAGAAGAAGCTACAGCGGGAACTGGAGGAGCAGCTGGAGACCAATGAGGAGCTGCAGGTGCAGATTAAGGCCCTGCGCAGTGAGATGAGGTGAGCACTGGCCGGGGACCAGAGGCTGGCCATGCCCACTGGCATGAGGGGCGGGGTCACACTTCCTGGGCAGTCCCACCTACATATGGGTATGGGTATGGCCAGATGAGAGTGTGCAGCATTGTGCGTTTGTGTTAAATCTGTGCTATAGAGCTGATGACCTTTAATACCCTATCATCCCTGTGGTAACTCTCAAACTGTTGTCCCGTAAGGCGCAAGAGCACCTCCGCCCCCATCCTGAATGATCTGGGGGATGATGAGGACGAGGATGACATCAGCACCGATGGGGAGGCGTACTACTCTTCGGGTTCCGGCAGCAAGCGGTCCGTGTCGGCAGCCATCGTGTGACGGGATGATGTGGAGCGTCAAGGAGAAGATTATTAGGGAGAACGGAAAGTGTGACTGCTGAGGCTTCCTTCAAACTCAGCGTATGCTAATGTTCCAGATACTTCCAAGAACGCACGGCACCTCTGCAGAAACACCTCAAATTCCTTCATCTCATTCTCATCTTGTCATTCCTTTTATGGCAAAATGGAGGGAAAAGCTTTATTAATAGTTTTTGAAGCTTTGTCAGTTCAAGTCTGTGCATTTTTTTTTATTTTAGAAGCTCATTTTTTCTCTGCTTAAATGGAAAATAAGAAGATAAAACTAAACCTTTTCCTTATTTATTTTTGAAAGATGAAGTGTAAATTTTTTAAGGGAACATGTTAGAAGGGAAAATACGTAATTTTTTACATATCAGATCCAAAATGCATATAAGAAATGTATTAAAAATGTATTTTCTTGATGTATTTTTCAATTTTCAGGTATATAAATCAAGGCTAAACATGTTACGTAAGTTTGCTGTGTATCAAAGAAAACAAAAAAGATCAAATATTTATAACACATATTGTCATACTGCATTAGTAAACAATGATCAATGATGGAAATTTTCATTTTTCAGCTGTTGTGCTTTTTTGTAAGTCTGTTGCTCGTCGTAAATGTGAAGTACATTGTTTTAAGTGTGATCCCTACAAACAAAGCTGTAAGGTCATCATTAACAGAATCCCTCAGCATGAGACTGGTTACCAGTGGTATTTATGTCAGTCTGAGGAGGTTGTCACTTCCCTCTGTGACATGCATTAACGATGACTGGCCAGTTGATCCACGATTGATCAGATGATCATGATCAGACGATTATCAATATGACAATTCTGGAATCTTCTGTCTGCTCTGAGAAACCATTCTCTCTCTGGTTAGCTGTCATCTGAATGTCATCTTCAACTTTTTTTGGATGGGGGGAGTTTCATACACATGGAAATAAGGCAGGGCGCGCTCTGGAGGTGTGTGACCCCTGCTTTACTCACAGATTCTATCTATTATCAGGGAGGGAATTCGAGACAACAATGACACTGCCTGAGTATGCACACACATCCCATAATGCCCAGTTGTTACCCACAGAGACAGTGCTCCAAATGTTGTGAAGAAACTCCCACCCGTTACCCATGGTCCTTTTAGGGACGTCTCTGGTGACCAACCCGGACACATGGGTGCTGTTTCCCCTTTTGTGTGAAGTACCTGCTATGTTTCAGGCACTGGCCAGTGAAGGTGAAGGGGCAGCTGTACAGATACAGGGTGCCCAGTGGCCTTCTGCCCTCATACTGCCCTCATACTACCCTCATACTGCCCTCACTCTGCCCTCATACT